AAATAGCCAGAGAGTGCTTCACCACAAACGACAGAATCTTTGCTTCCCGCCCAAAACTCGTAGCCGGGAAACTGCTGGGCTACGACCATGCCATGCTGGGGACGAGCCCATATGGCCCATACTGGCGCCACGTCCGCAAAATAGCGACGCTCCAACTCCTCACCAACCACCGCCTCCACCAGCTCCAACACATCCAAATATTAGAGGTCCGGGATTCCATTAACAAACTACACGAGTTATGCGTCAACGACAAAAAGGACAGCAGAAGAGTGTTGGTGGAGATGAATGCATGGTTTAGAGACCTAACTCTGAACACGATTTTCAAGATGGTTATTGGAAAGCGATTCTCAACTGCTTTTGAGGGCAGCGGCGGGGCGCAGTATCGGGAGGCGGTGCGGAGTTTGATTGAACTTTTTGGGGTATTCGTTCCTTCGGATTCGTTTCCATTTCTGAGGTGGTTGGACTTGGGAGGGTATGAGAAGGCCATGAAGAAGGCGGGGAAGGTGCTGGACGAGGTGTTTGATAAATGGATCGAAGAGCACCGCAAAAAGAAGAATTCTGGTGAAATGGAAATGAAAGAGCAAGACTTCATGGATGTGATGCTTTCTACTGTTGAAGACGATGGACAGTTATTTGGCTATGATGTCGAAACAGTCACCAAAGCTACTTGTTTGGTAAGCATATAGTTGATTATATATGTGTATTAATTTATGAATTAAGTTGATTAATCAATATCAATACCCCTAGCTATAAATACTCATGGATTCAAGTTCTCGTGATTCCTCTTCAAGATACTATCTTGATCGGATCTCATTTTTTAGTTTGATATCATATAATATTCATGAAATTTCATCTCAAAATCAATTAACAACAAGATAAGTAACCCACTTATATTCTTTTCGACACGAGATTCTTAACTAACTTTGTTAAACTTAATTAATGATGTAGACTATGATATTGGGTGGAGCTGACACTACAACAATAACAATGACTTGGGCTCTCTCTTTACTGCTCAACAATCAAGAAGCACTCAGGAAGGTTCAACGAGAATTGGATGAACATGTTGGAAGGCAAAGGCGAGTGAAAGAGTCAGATGTAAAAAATTTGATATATCTCCAAGCCGTTGTAAAAGAAACATTGCGTTTGTACCCTGCAGTGCCGCTCTTAGTCCCTCATGAATCTATGGAAGATTGCACAGTGGCTGGCTACCACATCCCTGCAGGGACACGTCTATTGGTGAATCTTAGGAAGCTCCAAAAAGATCCACTTGTTTGGGAGGATCCTTGTGAGTTTCGACCAGAAAGATTTCTAACAAATCAAAAAGATGTTGATGTGCGAGGGCAAAATCTCCAACTAATACCATTTGGAAGCGGACGACGAGTGTGTGCTGGAATCTCATTTGCACTCCAAGTTATGCATCTTACACTTGCAAATCTACTCCATGAGTTTGAAATTAGTTTAGGAATGATTTCACTATTTGAAATCAAATTATTCGGCAATTGCGCAGAACTTATAAAATATACTAATTAGTAATATTTGGTTATTGTCGTTGTTTCTTACTTTTGACGGAGTATCTTGTAATTGCTGCGATATATAGAAATAGACCAGTTCATTAAGCTTAAAAGCTACAAATTAAGTATAATAATAATAATATAATAACTACTGCTGTGAAAAACTTAACGGTAATTGGCACAACTAATGTTGTTTAATTTTTCATCTAACTTATTACTTCTCATACTTGTAAATCTATCTAACCGATTTTAAATTTGTAGGCTGCCTAATCAGCCAACTAAAAAGAGCTTTACTAAGACATATTGCTCTGTAACAGTTAAGGTATATTGCTCATTTTTTCGAGATTTGAGATTCAATTAACCATCCAAACGTTAGCGGTATGATGAATAAATTTTGTGTTTTAGTAAAATATGAGGTGTACAGTTCCGTTGTTTTCTTCTTTTATTGAATTATTCTTAGAATTTCTTTCTTTAATTACATTTTCATACGTTCAAAGATTCATACCCTGTGAAAAAGATAATCTACTCATTATTATATTACTACTTGTGAGAATTTGTACACTTGCGAAATCGAACAAACATTGTACGATTTTTTTTAAAATATAAATTGACTATAATTTAATTCATTTTTCTAATGAACTTCTAAAGCTAGTTCTTGATTAAAATGCAGTTAACCATAAGACCATGCTTTAGTCAATAGGTAATTAAGTTCAAAAATTGGCTCAACTATAAGAATTGTTGGAAATCAAGCACTAAAAAAGTAAATTCCAAAAAAATCTTACATATTTTTAAATATATAGAAAACCATATTAATTTAACTAATTCAATATATAACGTTACATGCGTTTTGAATATCACATTTACATGAAAATATAATAAACAAATAACTTATTGAGACTATTCTTATTATAATAAAAATAAAAATAAAAGAATGATAATGATATGCTTGTAAATATAGGAGTAACCATTACAGATTATAGATTATATATAACATTTATAAATCGTTTGTTAGCGAATAACTTTCATCGGAACCTCAATCGGAATGGTAAAACTTACAAGCAATTGCAAGTAGATCGGAGCCTTCGTCCGGCCATGCAACGCTTACCCCTGCTCGCCAACCCATGGTTTGGAATCCCCCTGAAGATCACTTCTTGAAGCTCAATGTCGATGCGGCTTGTAGACCCAATTGCTCAGGTTTCGGTCTTATTATTCGAGATTCCAGCGGTTCGATCATGACCGCCAAATCCAAGTGGTTCCCATCAGCTATTCTCCGCTGCTTGTTGAAATCAAAGCCATCATCGAGGGTCTCAAATTGGCAATCTCTCTTCAATCTTCTCATTTGCCGGTTGAATCAGACTCCGTTCAGCTCCTTAATGGTGAAGTTTCTACTATGGGGTTAAACTGGCTGATGGAAGTAAAATCTCTTTCCCTCTCTCTTTCTCTTCAATTTCTTTCACTCATGTCGGTAGGGGATGTAATAATACAGCCCACTCTCTTGCCAAGTATGGTTTGCCTAGATCTTTTTTCTAGCTTCATTAGTATCCTACGTAGTTACTAAACCTTATTCAAGCTAATTAATGAATTTTTCTTCCTTAAAAAAAAATCTTTCACAGAGTCATTTCACTCTATTTTTTAAAAATATATGTATCAACGTCAACATCAATGGACTAATCTCTCTTGAGGACCAACTTGAACTATTGTTATCTCGAAGTCATGCATTGTGAGAGCGACAATTACATTTATAGATCCAACACCAACCATTATTAATCTATCTTGTAAGGTTATTATGGGGAAAAGAGTGCAGCTATTGACCACCACATTCATTTTTTAAGATATGCCCTAATAATTTTTAAAAGTTCTAATTAGACCCACTTTTATATGTACTAAAAAAAAAGGAAAAAACCCACTTTTATAGAGGATTCCTATAAAGATTTCGAGCCATAAGATTACTAACAAGTGGAAATAGATTTTGACACTAGTGGACTGAGTTTTTCAGTTGTTATCATTTGATGAACTGGCAGGCCGTTTAATGAACCAATTAAAATGAAATGGAAAATTAAGAAATGTTTAATATAAATTAACTACTACAATTTATTCATTTTTCTAATGAACTTCCAAAGGCTAGTTCTAGATGAAAAGCTTTTAGATGTATTCACATTATTACATGCAACTGTGTCTGATATGTCACCATCAGATTGAAATTTTGCAAAAAAAAAAAAAAAGGTTGGTTCATTCTGATTGATGGAATATATTTCATTTTATTTTATTAGTAAATTATTTATGGTTTAGTTCACTCGAGTGCATTTTATTCATGGTTAAGATGATTTTAATCATAGTTAAATACATTAACCATAACTCATATTTTTCTTAAATCAATTTTTTCATTTTATTTTAAAAAGAATAAATATTAAGTCCACTAAAATAAATGCATCAACAAATGTCGAATATATTTCGAACTTCCACATCATTGGACCAAAGTCTCATCGGAGTAACATGTTTAAACTATATTCTAAAGGTTAAAACATTTTTGAAACTTATCTTCAAACCCAACCACTAAAATATATTTTCCAAAAAAAAAAAAAAAAAAAAAGAAAAAAAATGTCAAAACCTACTTGCCTGAAAGATCCATAAAATTAATTAGTCTTGTCCAATAAAAATCAAATACTATCACCCTAAAAAAAATAAAATACTATGGAAGAAGTGTCACATTTTTGGTTTATACTTTTTTAAGCTAACCATTTTTTGAATTTATGATATTTGGATTCTCCTTTTCTTCTTTTCCTTTTACCACCGTCTCATTTTTACCAACACATCAATCTAATTACCTACCTCAATTAAAAGCTATCGAATAAAAGTAAAATGAATTTTTTAATACATCATAAAATTGCAAATATACAGAAATTGACGTAACACTGAACCAACTTAAAATAAAATAAAATAAAAATATTTTTTTATTACTAAGAGGGAATATAATTTATTTTCTAAAAAATAATAATCATTTAAATAAATAGATTTCATTTCCGATAATCTATTATCGTGAACGTGGAAGTGGAAGCCAGCTAGCATCCGAATATCTATCTAATTAGCTTCTTTTTTTTTTTTTTTCATCAACGTCATATATGGACCTAGTACTCTCTTCAATCACACTCAAAAGATAAGTTTAAAAATAAAATAAATTGGGTCCACTCTAACAATGGTTGCAAATCAAACAGACAAAAATGTGAATTCCACTCTTACAGATTTCTAAATATAGAAAATGATTTACACTATATTTTTAAAATATCTTCTTTTTTATCTCTACATCTACAGACTTCTTTTTTTTGTCTTAATATTGTTCGTATTTAAATTTATTTTAGAAATAATGCTAATTATTACGAAAATAATTTTTAAATTTAAGATTAATTACAAAGTTTTCTTTTTTTTTTTTGATAAATTTCGAATTAACATTATTTTTAAAATAAAATATGAAGAAGTCTGTACGTACTTCTAAAATATTTAAGTTTTGAAATTATTTTAAAAATATAGAAAAAGAGTTTGGGAAAGAGCACTGTTGTCCAATACGACGAGCTATGTCATAGGCTATAGCAGGGAACATTGGTCTCTTCTACTCTATGGCCTCGATTGGTCGTTGTCGTAATAAAAATAGAAAATCAAAATTTATTCATTTTATTTTTCTCAAAATTATGATACAAAATTTATTATTATTATTATTATTATTTTATAACTTGGAATTAATAACTTTGCTCTCATCGTAATAATTAAGGGCACTCTTACTCTAAGCAAAGCTCAAACATATCAAAAATTAAGATTTTTTTTTCTTTTTATATTAAGCTCATTCAAAAGCTCGAAGATAATATATTTATCCTAAGATCTCATGTCCTTACTGATGAGATTGAAGGCCTTTGCTGATGGGATTGTCCCCTTTAAAGTCTACTATTTTTCATCATAATATTTTTCTAAAGTAACTCTGATCTAAATTTTATAACTATCCAAAATAGATATATCTAATTTATTTTCATCAATTGGAATCTTCGAGAATGCCAATAAAATGTTAATAATTTAAAGATTTAACATGTATTTCCTTTGCAAAAAAAATAATAAATTTATTTATTAATTTAAAAACTTGTTGTGATTATTTTTATATTTTTAGAATCTCTACTGATATAGCGATATTTTATTTGTATTTGACATGAACAACCGCATTAATGTATATCAAGACATTGGCATTAATATATATCAAGACATTGGCTGAGAGAGACTCATCCGCATTTAAATATATACATATTTTGTCCAAGTAAAATACTATTTTTTATGGTTGGATTCCAATTATTGAACTAAAAATAAAATAAAACTCTGAATTCTATTTTTTCTAATTTTAGAAAGAATATAAGTAAATTTCAAATTTTGTAGAGTGATTAGTTGAGAGCATGTATTAAATACCCGTCAACATGTCAACACATTTTCATCCTATTAAAAATATCAACAAAATTTCATTAATATTAACTGATCATAGGGATGATCCATTGGTCCAAAGAAACTAGGTTAATTGAGAGACAATGTATTCAAACCTCATCATAATCATCTAAACACAAACATGATAGAGTTAGACAGTTACATGGTTAGTCAAGGTGTTGACATCTTTTTTAGATATTTCTATGAAAGTAAGATTTTGACATTTACATTGATACGAATATTTAAAAATTTGGTGGAGAGACTTGTTTTAGTACAATGTGGATTGGGATTCTCAAGTTGGACCTTACCCGCTATGCTCTGGATTTCTCCAAACCGAGACAGGTTTATCTTATATAAACCACGTTGGGCCTTTGGCAGTGGTCACTTCTTCTCCAAAAACGTAAAAACATATTGGAGCAACCAAGAAATGGAGGTACCCCATGTCTCCATTTTTACTGGAATCTTTGTCCTTCTTTTCTTTCTCTACGCTCTCTTCAATATGTCCCGAAAATCCGGTGCTGATCGGAGGAGACTCCCAGTCCCGCCTGAAGCCGGCGGCGCGTTGCCGGTGATCGGCCACCTCCATCTGCTAAGTGCAAAAGAGCCAACTCACATAACGTTGGCCAAAATGGCCGACGCCTACGGACCAATGTTTACGTTAAGGTTCGGCATGAAAAAGGCACTGGTGGTGAGCAGTTGGGAAATAGCGAGAGAATTCTTCACTACAAACGACAGACTCTTCGCGTCTCGCCCAAAGCTTGTAGCCTCGAAGCTACTGGGCTACGATTATGCGATGTTTGGGCTGAGCCCATACGGCCCACACTGGCGGCAGGCGCGTAGAGTAGCCACGCTGGAACTCCTGACGAACCACCGCCTGGAGAAGCTCCAACATGTGAGAATATTGGAGGTAAAAAATTGGATTAAGGAACTGTATAAATTATGTGTGAAAAGTGAGGAGAAAGCGGTGGTGGAGATGAAGAAGTGGTTCGGAGATTTAACACTGGACACGATATTCAGGATTGTGGTTGGGAAGCGATTCTCCGCTGCGTTCAATGGGAGTGGAAGTGAAGAGTGCAAGAAGGCGTTGAGGGATTTCTTTGAATTGTTTGGAATATTCATTCCGTCGGATTCGTTTCCTTTTTTGAGTTGGTTGGACTTGGGAGGGCATGAGAAGGCCATGAAACACACGGCCAAACTGCTCGACCACGCGTTTGATAAATTCCTCAAAGACCATAACCAAACTACAAATTTCGCTGCATCGGAGGAGGCTGACCAAGACTTCATGGAAGTCATGATTTCTGCGGTAAAAAATGAAGGAGAATCTTTCAGCTACGACGCCAATACAGTCATCAAGGCTACATGCTTGGTAAGCCTAGGTCACAGTCTCATGATCGAGAGATATACCACAATTGAAAAATTGACAATCCATCATTTAAAAAAATAATAAAAATCTTTATTTTCGCATTTGTCAAAATTTATAATGAGATGAGGACAAGATTGTACTTTCTCATCCCAATTGAGCCAATCAAACTGAGTGCATGCTTAGTTTGGCAATGAAAAGTATATATAAATAGAGTAAGTATAATTTTTTTAAATTTAAATATGAATCAAGAACATATAAATTACTGGTTTAAACCGTTTAAACTTGTGCAGAATATGATATTGGGTGGATTTGACACTACAACAGTAACAATGACATGGGTTATTTCTCTACTTCTAAACAATCAAGAAACACTCCAGAAGGCTCAACTTGAGTTAGATGAACAGGTTGGGAGAGGAAGAGAGGTAAAGGAGTCAGATGTGAAAAATCTATTATATCTCCAAGCTATTGTCAAGGAAACTCTACGTTTGTATCCTGCTGCACCACTCTTAGTTCCACATGAATCCATTGAAGATTGCACGGCTGCTGGTTACCACATTCCCATTGGGACACGTCTCATTGTTAATGTTCAAAAGCTCCAAAGAGACCCACTTGTTTGGGAGGATTCTTGTGAATTTCGTCCGGAACGATTTTTGACAAGTCAAAAGAATTTTGATGTTAGAGGACAAAGTCCCCAATTGATACCATTTAGAAATGGTCGAAGGATGTGCCCTGGAATCTCATTCGCCCTCCAAGTTATACACCTTACGCTTGCAAATCTGCTTCATGGATTTAAAATTGATAGGCCATCAGAAGAGCCACTTGATATGGAAGAAAGTGTTGGATTGACTAGCGTTAGAAAAGCTCCACTCGAGGTTGTTTTAACTCCATGTTTGCCCGCTCAAGTTTATGGAAAAGTTTGCAATAAAATTATGAACAAGAAATGAAGCTATTGCGAAGTAAAATGGTGTAATGTTAGAAAAAATATTTCATTAAGGTTGGTGTGAATTGTATCTTGTAAAACAAGTGTATTTCTTTCCTTTCTTTCTTTTTTTATTTTTGTTTACTTTTTTAGGTGGGGATTCGAACTCACGACCGTTTTTATCGATAATTGGTGTCTTAACCAGTTAATATAGATTCGAATTAGCTACAAAAATGTGCAATAAGCTATAGCATATAAAATTATTATTATTATTTTGTGTTTATTTTTTTCTAATTTATGATACTTTTATACATACTTGTTAATTGAAATATTTTTCACAAATTTTTTGAGCTATCAAGATCGATATTTAAAACTTTACATCTTGATATTTAAAACTTTAAATGTAAGGTGAAGTGATATTTAAAATATCTAATTTTTCTCCTATAAAAACAAGGACAAATTAGAATTCGGTACATTTTAATTTAAAGTATTGACAACTCCCACGACCCAGAAGAAGGAAAAAAAAAAGAAAAAGAAAAAAGGAATTTTTCAAATCAATCCTAACTTAAATTTAAAAGAAAATAAAAGTAAAAACTAAATTCCAGATTTGAAAGCCTTCCAAATCTGAAGTTCCGAGCAAGAGTAAATGTATAAAAGTACCACAAATTAGGAAAGAAATAACCACAATAATAATAACAATTATATGCACAAAATGCATAGCTTATTAAGCTTATCTTTTCAAGCATACAATTCATATCAACCTTAAATGAACTAGTTTTTCTAATATCACAACATAAATGAAACTAGTTTCTTTAATATCACAATATAAATGAATAGTTTTTTTAATATCATAACATTTTACCTTTGCAATAGCTTCATTTCTTGTTCATAATTTGATTGCAAAATTATTCATACACTTGAGCAGGTAAACGTGGAGTTAAAACAATCTCGAGTGGAGTTTTTCTAACGCTGGTTAACCCAACACTCTCTTCCATATCAAGTAGTTCTTCCGATGGCCTACCAATTTCAAATCCATGAAGCAAATTCGCAAGAGTAAGATGTATAACTTGGAGGGCGAATGAGATTCCCGGACACATCCTTCGACCATTTCCAAATGGTATAAATTGGGGACTCTGTCCTCTAACATCAAAATTATTTTGGCTCGTTAGAAATCGTTCCGGACGAAATTCACAAGGATCCTCCCAAACAAACGGGTCTCTTTGAAGCTTTTTAACATTAACAATGAGGCGTGTCCCATTAGGAATGTAATAGCCAACAGCCGTACAATCTTCTATAGATTCATGAGGGGCTAAGAGTGGCGCAGGAGGGTACAAGCGTAGAGTTTCCTTGACAATAGCACGAAGATATAATAGATTTTTCACATCTGACTCGTTTACTTGTCTTTCTCTCCCAACTTGTTCATCTAATTCAAGTTGGGCCTTCTTGAGTGCTTCTTGATTGTTGAGGAGTAAAGAAATAGCCCACGTCATTGTCACCGTCGTCGTGTCAAATCCACCCAATATCATATTCTACATAAGTTTGAACCAGTCATTTATATGTTATTATTCATTATTTTACTATATGAATCATGATCATATATAAGCTAAGGCTGCAGAAATATGTTTAATTACCAAGCATGTAGCTTTGATGACTGTCTCGGCATCGTAGCTGAAAGATTCTGCTTCATTTTTTACCACAGAAATCATGACGTCCATGAAGTCCTGCTCCTCCATCTCCGATTCACCAAAATTTGACGCCTGCTGCTGCTGATGCTCTTTCAGGAACTTATCAAACGTGTCGTCCAGCAATTCGGCCGTCTCCTTCATGGCCTTCTCATGCCCTCCCAAATCAAACCAGCTCAGAAACTGAAACGCATCCGAAGGAATGAATATTCCAAACAATCCAAAGAAATCCCTCAACGCCTTCTTGCACTCTTCACTTCCATTATTGTCATCGAAGGCAGTGGAGAATCGCTTTCCAACCACCATCCTGAATATGGTGTTCAGTGTTACGTCCCCGAACCACGTCTTCATCTCCACCACCGCTTTCTCTTCATTTTCGACACATAATTTATACAGTTCCTTGATCCAATTTTGTACCTCCAATATTCTCACATGTTGGAGCCTCTCCAGGCGGTGGTTCGTCAGGAGTTCCAGCGTGGCTACTCTACGCGCCTGCCGCCAGTGTGGGCCGTACGGGCTCAGCCCAAACATGGCATAATCGTAGCCCAGTAGCTTCGAGGCTACAAGCTTTGGGCGAGACGCAAAGACTCTGTCGTTCGTAGTGAAGAATTCTCTCGCTATTTCCCAACTGCTCACCACCAGTGCCTTTTTCATGCCGAACCTTAACGTAAACATTGGTCCGTAGGCGTCGGCCATTTTGGCCAACGTTATGTGAGTTGGCTCTTTTGCACTTAGCTGGTGGAGGTGGCCGATCACCGGCCACGCGCCGCCGGCTTCAGGCGGGGCTGGGAGTCTCCTCCGATCAGCACTGGATTTTCGGGACATAGTGAAGAGAGCATAGAGGAAGAGAAGAAGGGCAAAGACACCGGAAAAAATTGGAAGAACGTGGCCGGTTACTTCCATTTCAGGTGCTCTATTGTTTTTACGTTTTGGAGAAGTCACCAAAGGTTTATATAATAAGAATATCAATAATTAGCTAACTCACTGGTTTTTAAAAATCTTCCTTGATAGCTATTTATTTTAAAAAAAATTAAAAAAAAAATCGTTTGGTTCTTCCTTTTGAAATGAAAACAGGTATATTAGTCATTAATTATACTCGAATTGACCATAAAAATTCTTATTTTACTTTTCTAGGTGGCATATTTTTGTTAGTTAAAATAATTTTCATAGATTCGCGTATCAATTATAGAACACCTATTGACCAAGGAGTACTATTTGATAATATTTTTCCAACCATGACTTTTAGGGCACAAAAAACAAAAATTTAAATGGCGATTTTGATCGATAATTTTATATTGAAAAATCTTTAGTGCAATAATTTTATCCCTCGTGATAAATGCGGATCAGTCTTGGCCAATACCTTCATATAATGTGATGTCTATATCAATACTAATAAAATATTGGTATATCAATGGATATTCTTAAATTATATAGAGAAGTAATTAGGTTTAATTTTTTTATATTATCCTTTTCTTCTCTGCGTGTCTTTTTTTTTTAACCAATCACTCACGAAAACTCTCTCTCTCTCTCTCTCTCTCTCTCTCTCTCTCTCTCTCTCTCTATATATATATATATATATATATATATATATATATATATATTATTATTAGTATTTTTCGTGGGGACATAGAGAAGTTCAACTGCTCAATCAAAATCTCCAACACATCACAAAAATGTCCTAGTATTCATCTTTCTTTTTTCTTTCTTTCTTTCTTTCTTTCTTTCTTTCTTTTTTTTTTAATACAAGAGTAGTATTTATCTAGTTATTAAAAAATGGGACTATCTTTATTTTTATATTTAGATTTGATACGAAGGTGGTATGATTTAGGACATAATTTGATAATTTAAGATTTAGATACGATATGATTTAGGTTTTCTATTAAAAATTAGAATTACATTTAATTTTATATATTTTTTTGATTTAGATGTTTTATTCAAAGAATTATCCTATTATAAATAGGATGGTGTGTTTCTATTTCGGATGAAATATAAATCATATCATATTTAAATCCTAAATCATATCACATTCGTAAGTAAACTCTTAAATTTGTATTATAATGTCTTGTATTTCGATCCATGACATTTCAAACAGAGACATTGATGTTTCTAGCCTTATCAACATTAGTCAAAAGTGAGGAATATGCCGTAAACTCTTAAATTTGTATTCTAATGTCCTATATTTCGATCCATGTCACTCCAAACGGAGACATTGACGTTTCTAACCTTATCAACATTAGTCAAAAGTTAGGAATATGTGCGAGGATGGTGCAGTTGGGTCTCGTCTGTTAGCATCATTATGTGAAGTGTGAACCCATGTTCAAAATCATCTTAACCAGGGATAAATGAAATGTACAAGAGTGCACTAAACCATTAATTTGCTAAAAAAAAATTAATGAAATATATTCTATTAATAAGAATGAAAACTTTTTGTTTTACAAAATTTCAATCTGATGGTGACATATCAGAAACATACAGTAACACACGACGTGAATAAGTCCAATCTTTTTATCTAGAACTTATAAAAATTATTAATACTTTGTTTTCATTTGTTTATTGCTAAATAAATTTGATGTATAAAAATATATATTTAACCGATGAATTTTTATTTTAAAATTTTATTACTTCTAAGTGAAGAAATTCTCACTAGATACTTCTATTTACACTTTTCGATTTCTAACATTAAAAGATATTTATTTGTCCCCAAAATACTCTCAATTAATTTTATCCTATTACCATTTATTATAATTTTTTTTCAATTATGCTTGCCTACTAAATTAATAGTTATTCAAGGCAATTTAAATTTATTAATAATTAATTATATTTTAATAATAGATTTAAGGAATAAATAAAGTTTTTAATTTAATTGTACTTATGTGTTGCGAATAGGGATATCAAAATTATGGATGAAATTTCTCCTATTTTTGTTTCCATTTTTTTTTTTATAGTTTCTCATATACCTATGTGCAGTGATCACCGAAAATGCAGTGAGATGTTGGAAAATCAGTGAGCCGTCGGAAAGAATTGTTAGACGCTGAAATAATATTTCGTCAGATATTTTATTTTAATAATATTTTTTTGTTAAATTATTTGAAAAATATATACCTACAAAATAATTTCAAAAAATAATGTTTTGAAAATAATTAGTCATCGGAGACGACCTACGAATAGGCAGCAACAGGTCATCTTTTCAAGAGACAACATGCAGATGTAACGTTCGATTGATGTCATATTTGATTTTTTGAAAAAAATTTAAAATATGATCGTATCTGTCAAGAGACGACAAACTAGGCGGACTTTACATAGTCTTCTCTTAAAGGACAACAGCGTTGTTTTAACGAAAATAAATAAATAAATAAATGCTTACATTATATTATAAAAAGTAGCATAAACTTTCATGTTACTGTTCATTGGTGAAGTGGGCGAACCACAAACCTTCGACATTCATGGCATGAGTCCCATCATTGGCAGAATTTTATTTTACATTCTACTTTCTTTTTTTTTTAAATTTTAGAAATAATCAACTTTCTATCTTTTTTTTTTCTCAAAATATAGTCAACTTCCTGCTCTTTATTATTACTAGTAAGAAATACGTGCGGTACACGTAAAATTTCATAGTTTTTATTTCAATGTTTAAAAATATAAAATTTAATTAAATAGTTAAAATTTATAATATAATTTGGTTTTTTATCTCTAAGTATTTACCTCACCAAGTTTTTTCGTATTTTCAATGTTTATCTCATAAAACAACGTCTCAATAATTCTCATCACCCACTGATGTGGTTAGTATGACTAAAAAAAGTATTATTCTTCAATTACTTAAATTTTTTTCTAAAAAGAACACATATTCAGGGATTTTTCATCTTTTTTTCCTAAACATAACAATAAATAATACAACTTTGTTTCAATTTCTTATTTGAGTCATTGAAAAATAAAATGACAAAAAAAAGTGAGAGATAGAGATGCATTCAGGGCAGTCATTCTTTGCCATGTTTGAGTTTCGGTCCAATTCCTTGTCCGAGCTCGTCGGGAATGCCAACCGCAGCCATGTTCAGATGAATTACTCAAGCTATTTTCATGACGGGATGATCACCTTACCAAGGAGGAGGTCATTGAGAGAGTCCTCGCGGTTACCAAGTGTCATCCAAAAGTGGATATGTCCAAGGTAATTCGATCTTATCACTAATTTTCATTTTTTTTTTCTAGTTGATTGAGTCGTTTGGAAAAAAAAACTAAAAAAATTGAATATTCGATCAAACAATCTAACTAAATATAAGAAAATACAAGACATTGACTAAAAGAGAAAATTTACATACCGAAAGAGAAAAGAAATTCAAGTTTTGATGAAGAAAATGTTGAGAGAAAGAGTAAGATAAAGCTCTTTATATATTTGTAGAAAATAAGAAGTTACGAAACTTTTGAAATTCCTTATTAATTATAATTCAAAATAAATTATAACTTTTTAACATAGAAATAAAGAGACAAAATCCTTTATATTCTAACTCTTTGTATTATAACCTTTAAGAGGGATAGTTTATTAGAAAGAGAAAATTAATTTGAGAAATGTAAAATTTGTAACAATGGAGATTAAATATTTTAAAAGAAATGAAAAAGGAGAAAGTGGCGTGGGAGCGAGAGAAATAGGGAGTGAGAGAGAAAATTTTATAGTTGAAAGACAAAATTACCTTCAAAATATCTATGAGAATGTTGAAATTGGAAGGGCAAAATAAAGAGAGAAAGTTTCTCCTTATAACCCCTTTTATATATATATAGATATAGATTATTTTTTTAATTTTAGAAATAATCAACTTTCTTTCTTTTTTTCATTTCTGCGAAATACAGTCAACTTCCTACTCCTTATTCTTATTATTATTATTATTATTATTATTATTATTATTATTATTATTTTCATTCATTTAAAAATATAAATTATTATATATAATTGAAAATTATAATAATTATATATATACTTATCATTATTATTAGTAGTATTAATTATTATTATTATTATTATTATCAACTATAATTTTTTATTCATTTAAAAATATAATTTTATTATGTATATATAATTAATATTATTATTTTATTTGTAAACAAAGAATGATAATAATAGTAATAAAATAATCTTATTTTAAACTTTCTACTAATAATAATAATAATAATTTATTAAAATGATAATAATGATAAACTAAAGAGTACAAATGATTATTAATAAGAATTTATTAAAATGAAAATATTAGTAGTAATAATTGATAATAATAAACTAATAACAAATAATTATTTTAATCATGCTTATTATCGAGGAAAATAATAATAATAATAATAATAAACTAAAAAATAATAATTATTTCAATCATTTAAAGATAATAATAATATCAAAATTAAAAAATTGCAAAGGCTTAGATTCGAACTTAAGCCCGTATGGATTAATCCAGGCACCTCTACGCTAAGTCGATACATAATTTTGATATAAGTATACTATTTATATTATATAATACAATAAAAATTATTATTACTATGTAGAGTACATCTAGTTAGTCGTCTCATTTTTACTTTTTTTCAAAATATGAGACGTCGCGCCAATCGAGCACAAGAGACAATCTACTGCTATCTATTCATAGGTAGTCAACTATTTTCCAAACATTATTACTGGAAATAGTTTGGTAGGTGATATATATTTTTAGAATAAATTTAATAAAAAGTATTATTAAAAAAATATCCAATTAAAAAAAAAGTTAACAGCCGCTGGTAGAATAAAGAAAGAGCCGAGCGTGTGCAGAGAGAGAGAGAGAGATCCGTTCCCCAAAAATGGGAGGATAAAAAAATCAGAATTTTTGTATATGAAGTCCCAACGAATCAGTATAATTAAATCCAAAACTTTCTTTATTTGTTTAATCAATTATTTGAGTTAATGTTTTTCTTTTCGAGATATCTTTTTATTTGTTTATTAAAAATA